CGGCGCTACGGCCCATCGTGTTAAGCGTTAGGTTCGCAGGTTAGAATCCCATGCGGGGATAGTTATGTGCGAATGGATTGCTGGACTCTTCGCCGCCGTAGGGTGGTTCACGTAACCACTGGTCGGATGAGGCTTCCTTTGCCATCAAGTTCATGCTTCGGAAACAAATAACTAACTAATCCCATACCAGACGTCGAAGGGTTACCGGCGAGAAGCCGTGGTTTGTCATATGGTTAAGCCGTCCTATCGGCTATCTTCTTCTCCCCCGGGATAAATCTCCTCCTATCCTGAGTTCATGTCAAAAATGTTGATTCGAAAGGATAGGTTGCAACAAACGATGGTCTTGTAAAATAGGATTGCTGTATGATTTGACTCGCGAGCGTTTTCTGTCCGTACTGTGCTGACCAGTGGGTAGTTAGCGTGACAAGATGTGAAATATATACTGCTCCGCTAACCAACGACAAGAAAAAGCGTGGGTTCGTGAAAAGTGATCTCAGTGAGTTGTCATAATTGGAAGAGTGTTAATTGACCCGTCACATTACCGAGGTCGAATAAAAATAAGGTTGATGGTTACAATAATTAATATAGTGTCATTTCTAGTTCCCATATAAGTGTGATTTATACAAGAATATCAGGACAAAATTTAATTGATGTAGCTTACTCATAAGCTCCGTTATTAAGCTTAGTTTGGAACAGACCTGCGGGCGACTCATATCGTCTTCGCGGGCGACTTGGTGCCTGCGGGCAACGCGTTGGTGACCCCTGCTGTAAATCATGATTCAACATCTCCCTTTCTTTTTAAAGTGATTAATATCACGCATTATTCATATTCAATATTAACATTTAAAACGTCATAAACATATAATCAAATCCTAGTCCCTTTCTAGCTACTAGAGGGTAGACTACCTCTGCAGCATACAAGCTTAGAGGATTATTCCTCGATGTAAAGCTTGTCACCTGTCTGACTAGAAATTACATTTCTTCAATGTATCGTCTTGGCGATCGAGGTATTCTACTTGACCTCCTTACACTAGGCTGTACGTTATTGTCTCTTGAAGAATTATGGTTCTCATCTTCTACTCTGGACGATATATGTGTTGGTACAAAAACATCTTCTGCATCCGGAGTATCTCCTAACATTCTTCTAGTCATACGTCGATTCCTCCGAACTGTACCTTTAGAAGTCTCAATCAAAACTGATTTTGGATCAAATTGTCGGCGTAACACTCTCCCTTCAGTTCTCAAATCTGGTATCCAAACTCTGTCGCCTGGTGATAAGTCATTTCCCTGAACAACTATGTGTCGACGATTATAATCATTTGTCATTTTACTCCTATATTCTCTCTCCCTCTGATAAAGTTTAGGGTATTTCGGAACTTTCGGTATAAGTTCGTCTGGATGGCATGGTACTCTAGTTTTCAGCTTTCTGTCCATACTCAGTTGTGAAGGCGAATATCCATTATGCAATGTATTTTGATATGTCAGCAATGCAAGATATTCATCATCGTCTGGACAGCTCTTTCAGTTTCACCATTTGACTGACTTTATTTCGGTGATGACGTAATGTGCTCAAAGTTCCATTTCTTAGCAAATTCTTTAAACAGTCTTGAATCAAACTGTGGACCATTGTCTGAAAATAATACGTCACAAATACCATGGCGACTAAAAATCTTCTTCATTTTCAATATAGTTTCCGCTGTATCAACATTCTTGGTCACGATGCAAATTTATACATCGCGAGAATAATAATCAACTGCTAGAAGATAGTTGTTTCCTTTGTAATAGAAAAAATCAGCGCCAATTCGTGACCATGGTCTCTTCGGAAATTCTGTTCCTCTCATTGGTTCGATTCGATCTCGTCTATATTTCTCACAAAGATTACAGTTTCTCACAACTTTTTCAGTATCACGAGACAGTCCTGGCCACCAAACAGAATTTTTCGCATGTTCACGCGATTTACTCACACCTTGATGTGCATCATGTAAATATCTCAATATGTCTGTTCAGAGTACTTCTGGAATCACGAGCCTGTTTCCCTTCATCAAAAGATCATCATGTATGCTGAAGTTTGCTTGCTCGTTCCAGTACTTATTCACAGGACCGTATAATTGCCCTTTGTTTTCCGGCCATCCAAATTTACCATTGTGCATCACAACTTTTATAATGTCGCCTTTGATTCACGTCTAATTTTATCCAATCTGGAGTTTGAAGCAGGCAAGTTAAGCATCATGGATTGAACATAACAGTCCGTATCAGCTAACAAATGATCATCTTTGTCAAACTCTTGGATAGGTGCTCGGAACAACGCATCAGCAGTATATAGCATTTTACCCGGAACGTGCACAATTGTAAAATCATATTTCATTAACCTTATTCGAAATCTTTGTACTCGAATGGGTAGCTCATCTATCATTTTCGTAGATAACAGTGGTACAAGAGATTTGTGGTCTGTCTCAATTTTCAGACTCTTCAATCCTATCAGCAAATTTTGCCAATGCTCCATAGACCACGTAATAGCTAACGCCTCTTTCTCAATCTGAGCGTATCTGGACTCTGTTTCAGTCATAGATCTACTTGAATAAGCGACAGGTCTGAGCTCTCCTGAAGCTTGTTTTGAAGCATAACAGCTCCAAGCCCATATCCGCTTGCGTCAGCAGATACAACGGTTTCCAATTCTGGATTGTACATTGCAAGTATTCGATCTGACGTTAGTTCCTCCTTTACTTTCTCAAATGCCTTTTCCTGTATTGGCCCCAACACCAAGCATTCTTTTTCTTCAAAAGATCACGTAAAGCAGGGGTCTCAATCTCGCGGGCCAATTGCGGCCCGCGAGATGATGGTTTGTGGCCCCCGCCTTGGTATTAAAGTTTAATGTTAGTGCGGCCCGCAAGTCATTTAGCTTAGTTGGCATGGTTATTGCTTTTAATGTAACAGCGTTTTCCAAACTGTGTTCCGCGAGCATCTCCCGATTGTTGCGTGGAAAAGGAATCAAAAATGCATCTAAATTGGTCGCCATGGCGATCTGAGAATCATGAAGTTGTTGCCCAACTGACCGTTTAAAATTGCGTCACTGTCGGCCTAAAGTGGACTAACTAAGTTAGGGTAGTGGTATTTTGGTTAACCGTCGGTTTAGCTTTTTGACTGTTAGCTTTTGGTATTGTTAAAGACAAACAAGTAAATTTGAAGAATAAATGCAAAAGGTCGACCCTTCTTCCTCCATCTCTACCTGGTTTTACTTTGAAATTCTGAAAGTTTGTCGCGCATTTGCAACTCGCCACGGCGAAACCATTGGGAACCGCTACATTGCTCCGTTTTTTTTTATCAATATAAACCTCTCATTTTTTGGTGTTCCGCGAGGAGATATAAAAACTGTAAATGTTCTGTGGCCGAAAAAGGGAAACTCTCACGTAGGGCAAAACAAAATATTTTATCATCTATCCCCTGAAAGGAATATGCGGTGCGGTAACCTAACAGTACCATACTTGTAGGCCTGATATTCGATCGCGGTACCGCCTGAAACAATTTAAAAACAGTGTTCCATGATTTTTGACGTCACAATCACTAACGCTTAGATTTATCTTAATACATTGTAACCATGTTTCCCATGTGGCAAAACATCACTGTCCATCGCCAGTAAATGCTTGGTTGAAACATCAGCGCAACAGTTATTACAAGATATAATTTTATAATATTGCACATTCCTAAACGTGTCGTTGGAACTGAAGTTTCAGTAAACAGAATGGTTGGTGATGAGCACAGACATTTTCAAAAAAACTGGGGAATGCAATATTTCTTTGTTGGGCGTGGAACATGTTTTATCTGCACTGCACAATTAAAGTTGCAGTGCACAAGGAATACAATTTAAACGAATTGCTCAGCTTTTATTGTGGAAAACCTGATGCGGCCCGGACTCATTTGAGACTCTGTCCCAGCGGCCCCCAAGTAAATTGAGTTTGAGACCCCTGACGTAAAGGTTTCGTATGTTCTGACAAAACAGGAGTAAATTTTATCAACTGATTTGCCATTCCCAAAAATCGCCTGAGCGCTGAAACATCAGTAGAAGTAAGAAAATCGTTTGACTTTTTATCTTTTTCGGGATCTTCACAAATTCATTTCTCCCCAATTATTTGGCCTAAATATTCAAGTTTCGCAGCATGGAACACACATTTATCAATGTTTAGAGTCATTCCCTCATCTTGGAGTCGATCCAGAAGTTGTTTTAAACATTCATCATGCTTCACAGCGTCAGTACTCAAAATGATGTCATCTATGTGACAAGTCGTATTGGAAAATCCTTCCAAAATGTGGTTCATTAGTTTTTGGTACAATTCTGGGGCGGATGAAATCCCATAAGGCAGCCTCCGGAACATGAATCTTCCAAATGGCGTAATAAACGTCGTCAGTTTACGACTTTCTGGGTTAAGCTCGATTTGGTAAAATCCGGAATTCGCATCCAAGTTGGTGTACACTGAATCTTTTGCTATTCTTCCCAAATTGTGTTCTACAGTGGGCATCGTGTATATTTCACGATTTACCGCTTCATTAAGCTTGGTTAAATCAACGCACATTCTAATTTCGCCACTGGGTTTTGGTACGACTACAATCGGCGCGCACCACTTGTTTGTTTGTGGGTAAATACACAACTATTCAGGATGCTTGAGTATATTATAGATATAACATAGACATCATAGATCACAGCACTCAACATCTAGCAGAGAGAGAGAGCAAGCAAGCAAGGTCAAAGGTGACAAGTATAGCATTAATAATGACGTCATAAATATCATCTTACATCCCCTTTTCTTTAAACAAATATCAACACATGAAATACAACACTAATGCACTTATATGCACATAATAGCAATGCCAACTGGAAAGTTCAAATCTCATTTACAACAATTTGTCATCAATCAGCAAAGCTACAAAATGCAATATTTACTTCACAAAATCACTAGAGTAATATCTTGGATTTGGCCTTATTCTCCTTCCACTTCTAGTAAAAGTCATACTGGGCACAAAATTAGGACTTCCATTAACAATATTAGATTGACTTGGAACATCAGTATTTGAATCAGATAAATTAGAATAATCGATATCTTCTTCTGTTCGAGGATAGTAAGATTCATTTGCTTTAAGGATATGTCTTCGATTGCGACGATATCTTCTTCCATCAGACTCAACAATGTAAGATCTTGGTAAGTGATGATTCTGGCATATCCTTTTTTAGTTTGCATTCTCACTATATCACCAGTGTTCAAATTAGGTAACAGTTTTGAAGACTTGTCAAAATATTTCTTTTGTTGGCTTCTTTTGTGCAGCAATTGATCATGCACTTCTTTTGGATTTCTCATTTCAGGATTCAACAAATTCTTTGATATAGGTATGTCACCTTTTGTTCGACGTGATAATAGACGTTGTGCAGAAGAACCAAGTATTTTATCTCTAGGCACATTTCGAATATTTAATAGAGCAAGGTAAGGATCAGATCGATCTCGCCTGCATTTCTCCAATAAATTTTTAGATTGTTTCACAGCATTTTCAGCTAGTCCATTGCTTTGAGGAAATTCAGGACTACTCATAACATGTTTGAATTGCCATTCTCTAGCAAATTCTTTGAAAAGAAGCGACGAATATTGGGGACCACCATCACTGAACAGTACATCTGGACTGCCAAATCTAGCAAAATGTTCTTTCAGTTTCTTTATAACAGTATATGAGGAAATATCAGGCAAGTGGTTAATTTCAAACCATCCAGAATAAGAGTCAACAAGTACTAAGTGTTCACTTCCATACCAGTGAAATATATCTGTAGCTAGAATAGACCATGGACGATCAGGAATTTCATGTAATTTCAATGGTTCTTTCTGTTGATGATTCTTCAGACTATTGCAAACAGAACAATGTGAAATAGCTTCTTCAATATCTTTGGACATATTGCACCAAAACAAATAATCACGTGCACGATTCTTTGTGGATTCAACATTTATATGTCCTCGGTGTATTTGTGCAATGTATTCTTGTTGTAATGACTCGGGAACAACAACTTTATTTGACTTGTACACAACACCATCATGTTCAATGAGTTCATCTCGAAATGGAAAATATTTCTGAACTTGGACTGGCAAACTTTTTACAGTATTAGGCCATCCATGCTTGATAATTTTAATCAGTTCTTGTAATGTTTGATCAGTCCTGGTTTTTTCAACCAACTCATGTGCTCTTGGTGGGGAAATAGAAACAATTGTCAAAATCATCATAATTATGCATAATATCAACAAGTTTATCATTTGAAATATATGCTCGTGACAATGTATCAGCAATATACATTTCAGTACCTTTTTTATAAATGATTTTCAAATCATACTTTTGTAAACGTAACATCATTTTTTGCAATCTGAGAGGTGCACTCAGAAAAGGTTTCGACAATATAGATTCTAGGGGTTTATGATCAGATTCAATTAAAATCTTTTTACCATATATATAATGATGAAATTTTTCACAAGCAAAAACAACAGCTAGAAGTTCTTTTTCAATTTGTGCATACCTTGTTTCAGTATCCGTTAATGCACGGGACACATAAGCAATGGGTACATTATCTTGTAAACAAGCAGCTCCCAACCCTTTCTGGGATGCATCACATGTTAAAGTTACACTTTTGTTACAATCATAAAATTTCAAAATTGGCATATTAGAAAGCGTAATTTTGAGCATATTAAAATCATTACGTTCATTTTCATTCCAATACCATTCAACATCATTTCTAAGCAATAAACGTAAATTAGCAGTATGTTCACTCAATTTCGGCAAAAACTTAGCAAGGTAAGTAATCATTCCAATAAAACGATGCAAAGAATGTTTATCGGTAGGCTCTGGCATATCACGAATAGCTTGGGTAATTCGAGGAGATGGTTTTAAACCATTCGAAGTCAAAATATGACCACAATATTCAACTTCTTGTGTCATAAACTTACATTTGGACAAATTCAATTTCAAATTGACTTCTCTAGCTCTTTCAAGTATAAGCAAAATACGATCAAATAATTCTTTCTCAGTCGAGCCCCAAATTAGAATGTCATCAACAACAATACGACAGGGTAGCTTATCAAAAAGTTGATCAATAGCCTTCTGAAACACTTCTGGGCAAGATGAAATTCCAAATGGCATACGCAAAAAACGAAATCTACCAACAGGTGAGTTAAAGGTAGTTTTCAGTGAGGATTCATGATCAAGCTTAATCTGCCAAAAACCAGAAGATGCATCTAATACAGCAAAATATTTAGCATTGGGCATTGTGGCAACAATATCTTCAATATTTCTCATTGGATAATGCTCACGTAAAATATATGTATTCAATAAAGTAGGATCTAAACAAATACGAATGGCACCAGATTTTTTCTTTGTGACTACCATGCTTGACACCCATTCAGTTGGTTCGTCAACTGGTAAAATAATCTGATTGGCAACCATTTTATCTAATTCTTGTTTCACAAGTTTCTGCATTGCAACAGGAACTTTTCTGGGAGGTCTGATCACTGGCTGTGCATCAGATCGAAGTTTCATGTGATAAGTAAATTCACCTAGCTTACCATCAAATAGATCAGAAAACTTATTTTCAACATATTTTTGAACGGACTCGGGCGAAAGTACAGAGGGAACACTTTGGGGTTTCAACTCATGCACATTCAAAGAAAGAACATTCAAATTTAAACAATCATTAATTCCAAGAATAGGTGTGACATTTCTATCAACAACTTGAAATTTAAGCAAATATGGGACATTACGGAAAATACATTTTATAACAACAGATCCAATTGTAGGAATTCTATTACTAGACCCATAACCAATCAAAAATGCAGGATTTCTCTTGTCAATCTTTTCATCAGATCTGACACAATTGAAAATATGCAATGGTAAGACATTACACTTAGCACCAGTATCAATTTTGAGTTTGACATGGTTGTTATTCACATATAAATCAGCAAAAGCTTCATCAGGACCAGTAGTCTTAACTGAATTGACACAATCAAATGAACCAACATAAAAATAATCAGCAGTATACATGTCATTAACTTCATGAACTGGGGTCTGGTTTTGATTGCCATGAACATCATATGAAGATCTATGACATTCTTTTGATTGACCACGTTTAATAAAGCACATTCTTTGAAAATGATTCATTTTGTGACAAAAATTACACTTCTTGCCAAATGCTGGACAAGAATCACGTGATTTAGTATGATTTAAACCACAATACTGGCAAGCAGAATTAAATTTAGACACACTCTGAAAATGACAATCAGGCTTATAAAATTTGTCATTATTTGCACGAAATGTTCTATTGTTCTTTTCGAACTTGTTACGTCTAAATTTCGGATTATAGCGTGTGTTTCTTCTATGATGAGATACAGAATCAACTTCTTTCGTTGCATTCATCGATAGGGATTTCATTCTCTCATTTGTAAGTTCATATATTACACATATATCAATAGCTTTTTTCAATGTAAGATTAGCTTCTTTTAGCAATTGCCTTCGCAGGTTATCATCATGAACGCCAGTCAAAATTCTGTCTTTAATCAACTCATCTTTGAGATCACCAAATTCACAAGACTTGGCTTTGTTTTTCAAGTCTACAACGAATGATTGGATAGATTCACCTGGCATCTGTGCTCTTGTGTTGAAGTGATGTCTTGTTAGTCCTATGTTTGACTTGGGTAGGCATATTTCTGCAAATTTTCTCTTCAGGCATTCTGGATCATCACGAGACTCAGCAGGAACGTCACCTTCAGCTGCCTCATATGTAAAAGATTCTTCTTTTTCTCTGCCCTCTTTCCCAATCAAATTAAGCAATATGCAAGCTTTAGCTTTGTCAGTTTTATCACTGTGCAGTGCTCCGATGAAAATATCATATTCACGTACGAATATTCTCCAGTTTTCAGCAACATTTCCATCAAAAATCAGAAGATCTGGTCTGTTCAACGACGAATCAGCCATCCTTAATTGATTGCTCACTGACGCGATTTTTTAGAATATTTTTCAAGCAACTTTACATCAATCCCACTTCTGACACCATGTTCGTTTGTGGGTAAATACACAACTATTCAGGATGCTTGAGTATATTATAGATATAACATAGACATCATAGATCACAGCACTCAACATCTAGCAGCACAAGCAGAGAGAGAGAGCAAGCAAGCAAGGTCAAAGGTGACAAGTATAGCATTAATAATGACGTCATAAATATCATCTTACACCACTCACTTGGTTCGTCGATGGCTTCGATAACATCTAGTTTCACCAAGCGGTGTATTTCATCATCTCCACACAGCCAACTGCGTCTAGTTTAACACCACCAGCTCCGAATAATTCTTTATCGGTCACTGTTATTTCACCAAAAGCCATTTTATACACATTTTCGGGCATCACCGAAACTTGTGCACCAGTATCTATGCACCAACCAAGTTCTTCATTTTGGGTTCCAGTTTTTAGTTTAATAAACCACCCTGGATCATTAGAAAAATTCCTTTTCATACGCTTTCTAGATCGATTTATAGTACCCACAAAATCAGATTTCGGCTTGCTAGGGCTTCGTATTTCCCCAACATTAATCAGAACTCTGCTTTGACACACAGAATAAAATTGACTAACCTTGTGGCATTTGTTGCATTTCTTGTGGGCAGCTGGGCAGTTATCTTTTCCGTCATGGTGCTTGTATTTGCAATATCGGCATTTGGTCTTGCTCTGATCAGTGCTTATCCTAGCCCGACCTCGATATTTCTTCATTGGTCTTTGTCCTCTTCTTCTATGGCATCAATCATCGCTGTCTTTGTTTCTTTTAGTTCTCGACTGGTTGCTTCTTTCATGGATCGATTTGTATCACTTTTTCTAACTTAAGTGAGGCACCTGCATCATATAATTTCAGTTTCGTGGCATCGTCGCGACAAGAAAACGTCAGCTTATCGCGCATTGCTTCATTCACAAAATGGAAAGGAAAACTTAGAAGAAAACTCACACTCTTGCGCCATCTGACGGATTGCGTTTACCCATGCATCGAAAGTCTGGTCAGGCTCCCGATTTAATTTCAACCAAAATTTCTCACGCAACATAAGCTGCGGATCACGTTTTGTGAAATATTCATCAAATTTCTTGATCACGGTTCCATAGTCATCGCGATCTTCTGCAGGCAAAGCATCGCCGCCGCTTGGATTTGGCCTTTCCGCAAAAAATGTAAAATTTGCAAAAATGCGCATTTTTTACATTGTTATGCACACCAATTTAACCTCGTTATTAAAAATATGTGTCTTGATAACCCTCTCGTCCGTATATTTTTTGCAAATGTTTCGGGGTTTTTTTCATTTTTTTCCCGTTCCGCCGAAGCGCTCTGACCTCCTTCGCCAGATATGTAGCCGCCGTCTCCCAGCTTGTGCACCAACACGTTGGAACTTCCAATTACGCGTGATGCAGGGCGTGTCCGAAATTAAGTCTGAGCTCATTGAGTGTTTCAATGGCATTCAGAGCTCTCCGGTTTGGGACGAACGCTCTGTGAGGGAGGCGGCAGGTCTAAAGCGTCTGCTAGAAGATGGTGAGTTTTCATTTTTTCTCCACAATATTCTATCACGTGGATGTATTATACGGCGCATTGCAGTCAAGGCTAATGGATGGAGCGTCTGTGCAGTCGTGTATTTCAGACTTCTGCGATGCTGTATCTCGTATCCGGGAAACAATAAAATACGACGACACATGGAGTGCTTCTTTACGCCGCGGGCAAACAACGAAGCGTTTGATTTTGTCTGCAAAGGAATTCTGTGACAATCTGGTGAATCAAATAGGCGATCGTCTGCGCACTGAACACCTTGCCGCGTTCTCTTTGATAAACCCCAAAAATTTTTCAAAATTTGCACGTCAATTTCCCATCCATTTGTTGGCTACTGTCTCC